CCTATTTCAGATTAGTATTCTCAACCTGATTCCGGTGGCAATTATTATTGTTTAAGTATTTGCGTATATTAAATAATATTTGAGGATACTATACTCAAACATTATATTTATACATCATGATAATATTCAAGAATACTTAAAAATTAAAAATTTACAACGAAATTAGGTAGAGAATATTAATTTGAAAATAACTCTTCTCCTTTTTAAATGTGATATATAAAGGATTATACTAGTATACATATACCCTAACTAAAGAACTAATTACTATCTACTTAGCTAACTACATAAGCCTTTGGTGAAAAATTCTATTTATAAACCGAATAATAGTATTTCTGAATAGATGAAGCTTCGATAGCTTTAATACCTTTTGAAAGATATTTTGCCATGATTAATTAATTGATTACTTGGTTACAAGTACGTAAGATTTAGAAGTTAGAAATCCCTGGTTTCATATAATTAATTCGTACGCTTGGTATATAATGAAGCCACATGTGATCATATGTATGTCGAAAATGATTTTATCATACGAAACTCATAAAAATAATATGATTTATACGAAACGAATTACGTATACGTGACATTTTATAATTTTTATTTTTTTTAACTGCCTCCGTGGCAGAACGGTTATCTTGCTGGACAGCCACGCAGAGGTCCCGGGTTCGATTCCCGGGCCGGGAGAAATATTTGTATGGCCTACATTTATTCCTCTCGTGAGTTTGGATGTAATTTGTGGTTGTATATGTGTGTGTCCATGGCACCCGCGATACGGAGTTTCCCTAGTGCGGGGCTATGAGTGTCATAAGCTGTCCATGGGTTAAATAAACCCATCATGTGTCCTACACAGTGTCCCTAATAATTTTGGTAAAATATTTTAATAATTTTTTTAATGGTATGTTCATAAAAACACAGATACGCGTTAGAGACACCGTGTGGTTCTAGAGCGCTACAATGCCAAAATCGTTTGGGACACCGCCTGTCTCTAGACGTAAGCATAAAAAGATATCGACTAACTATGTTCGAAGAATCATTAAACAAAAAAATCTCTCGAAAAGTTATAATTTTGCAGATGTGGCCTTATTATAATCAAGGGTGAGAATTATCATTATCGTCATTAATCTCAAATACGATACCGCTAATGCGGTCTGAAAGCAGCTTCTGAAGAGCACTAAAAATCATTAACCTAAAACCTAACATTGCGTGGTGTGTTTTATTGTAGTGAGTCAGGCCTTTACCAAAGCAATTAAGGGGATATGTGTGTAATGTGCTGACGGGAATGGAATGAGTAGTATTTCTAAAGAAAACGCCTGTATTTACAAATGTTTTAGAATGTAATGTAAATCATGTAGTAAACATGCACTTTGTTCGTCATGAATATTATCAGCCTACTAAAGTTCACTGTTGGACAGAAGCCTTTCCAAAGCTTACCACTGGACTTGGTTTTCGACGCATTCAGTCGCTTCCAACCGCCCCGCATCATCTGGGGGTCTATTCCCGTTCTCCGTCCAATAGTTGTCCAATACAATTGCTGTCGAATAAGTAATACCCGACCAAATTAAGAGATGCATGACGCGAATGAAGCTTCATACTTGACATTGTCGTTTGATGTGGTCGAATAATACATATTTGACTGTAATTGTTTCGGATGTTGGATAGAGGACGGAAGTAGATCCCCAGGTCGGAGGATGACTCACAGGGTCAAAATAAGCTGTGTTGCTGAAAATCAACGCCACGAAACGATTAAAAACAATAACCGTTTGTGGCTAAAGCTGAGCAAGTTCCGATTGCACCAGCCGCGACACGCATGACGGTGAATTAGATACTACATAATTGTGTCGATTATTTTAGTATTTTTTTAAAATATTATTATTATTGTTCCTCTGTTGTTTTGTTTATTAGCGTGTCTGTGCTTGTGTAATAAACAGTTTTCTTTCTTTCTAAAGCTGAAATTTGTAAAACGAACATTAAGTAAAAATTTTGAGCTAAGCAAGTTTTTCATATGTACAAAACGAACTTGCCTAAGTTTAAGCAAGAAATTCGAAGTAAACGCAAAGTTTAATAGAGTTCATTTTATAAATCTCAGTCTGTCTACTCTGCCCCCGTAAGAAAGAAAGCGCGACAAGTTTTTCTGATAAAAGCAATGGTTAAAATACGTGTTGATATTAAGTAGTTTATTTATGTTACATACCTATACATAAGATAATTTTTCATAGATAATATAAAATTAGTGCTTTAACGCCATAAAAATGTTGAAAATATAGTTTTTGATGTCATTTGTGCTTTTTGAGCTTATTGTATGTCCAACAATTATTGATATAGATTTCTACAAAAAATTAGGTATACTTGGTTTTTTATCGATCGCGATATAAAACTAAATTTTGATATAAATGTTACTTATGCCTTTTTTCGTTCAGAGGTCAATGCTACTGTCCCCACTCTAGATCACGCTTACACCAGTAGTTGTTGTTGGTGCTGCTATAGATGTTTTTTTTTTCATAATATCAAGTGACAGGATGAACAAGTTGTGCGCCTGATGGTAAGCTACACGCCTGTCCACAACAGTTGCAGTGCCACTCAGAGCTTCAAATCGCAAAGATCTGAGGGGCACTGCCACTGCGCCCATCACCCTGAGACATATGTTGACAAGTCCCATGTGCCTGTAATTTCACCAGCACTCTTACCCTTCAAAACCGGAACACAGTAATGTTAACATTACTGCTTGGCGGCAGAAATAGGTAAGGTGGTAGTACTTCTCTGGACGAACTCTCTCACAAGAAGCTCTATTGCTTTTATTTGCAGAACTATTTATGTAACCAGCTCGCTGCCATTTTAGTTCCAACTTTTGGAATTCTGTAACTTTAGTTCTCTAATGGATCATTTCGTTCCTAATCGTGACTTTGAGAGTACCTACGGAGCTCTACTATTACTTAATACTGATTCTTCTTGACAGTCGTCGACACAACGTCACAATTTTGAAGTGTATACATATTAAAGATTCTTGTTGATGTTGAAAACTTGCTATTTACGCGGTGTAAAATTTTAGACAAAAGCTTAAATACAATTTCTGCTTAATTAAAAATTCTAAATTGAAAATAATCTTTATTTCATAGGTAAGCATTATTACACTTGAAATCGTCACAATGGTTAAACTCTACCGCTCATTCGTAAGGCAGATTCCCCTGAGAAGAATGAGCAAGAAACTCTAGGGGTTGCTCTTTGTAAATAACATTTACAATATTTTTTTATTTGAAACATCAGATTGAGACTACCTCCATGAGCTAAACGGGTTACTACCACGGATTTTTGTCATCCAAGTACGCAGAAGTTGTATAATAACCTTTAGTATAAAGTTTTTGTTTCACTATAGTTTTAAACCTCGTGAAAGGCAAATTTTGTATATCAACCGGAATCTTGTTATAGAAGCGTATACATTGCCCCTTAAATGATTTTTTGACTTTGTGAAGACGACTATCGAGAAAAGCTAGTTTATTTTTATTCCTCGTATTAATGTCTGTCACTATTTTTCATAAAGAAATTACTATTCCTTTTAACATAAATTACATTTTCATAAATGCAGGGTGAGGCTAGTGTAAGAATGTTAATTTCCTTTAACTTATCTCTCAAAGATCATTTGGGGCCCAGATTGTAAATTGCCCTAACTGCACGTTTCTGCAGGACAAAGATTCTATTGATATCGGCGGCTTTACCCCAAAGCAAAATGCCGTATGTCATTAGACTGTGAAAGTAGCTGAAGTAAACCAATCTATCGGTTTCGACGTCTGAACAACTTATATATTGTTGCAAGTAGGTAGTTATTGTTACGAGTAGGATTATTTACTGAAATTGATAATTTCAATGGAAATTTATTATATTTTCGATATTGCGTAATCATTTAGTAAAATTTGGCAACTTTTGCTAACGGCAGAGTAACATAAGAGGAGTGGTAGCGTTTTTTTATACATAAATATATTTGTTTACGATACCAAGTGGTAAGCGGCATGCCTATCCGTAGCATTTGCAGTGCCATTCAGATCTCTAAATGTTAAAGATCTATGGTGCATTGCCGTTGTGCCCATGATCCTGAGACATAAATTGACAAGTCTCATGTGCCTGTGATTTCACCAGCACCCTTACCCTTCCCCTTCTAAACCGGAACGAGGTAATGCGCAGGCCACACCGCGAACGAAGCTAAACTAACTTAACTTTGTTATAATTATTAATACAAAGATCGAACACTCAGAAAAAACAATCAGAAAAAAGTCCTTCGATCCGGTCGGATTCGAACCGACGTCTTCTTGCATACCGTGCCAGACGCTATACCAACTAAGCCACGGAACGAACCAACGGACTTCACGAATTTTTCTATGTGCTTGGGTCGTGTCTTTGTACTTGGTCTTTCAACGACTTTTTAGTCGTAGCGCCATCTATGAGAAATCTATGAGAAATATCTATGAGAATATGAGAATATCTATATAATTATAACAAACTAGTGGAGTAATTTCACAAAAAATAATTGAATATCAATTCAATAAAAATTTAATTAACTTAGCTTTGTTCACATAGCCGGGGCAACTTTCATACTTCGTTTCAAACCGCGAATTAAGCGAACCGAACTAACTAAACTAACCCAACGATCCCGTTAGCTATGTAAAATATGTCACCCTTCTGCCGCCCTTGTATCCATAGTCACTACTTACTATGTATTTTCTTGCTTAACTTTACATGCAATTACGTGAGCCGAGAGCTAAGTTAGCTAGCTTCGTTCGCGGTGTGGCCTGCGCTTAATGCTCTCATTACTGCTTGGCGACATAAATACTTCCGTGGACGAACTCTTTCACAAGGGGCTCTACCGCTACTAATGTGCGCATTTAACTACTACGTCACTTGATGGAAAGTGATGATTGCCTCCACGTCGCCACAAGACGAGGATTACGAAATACGATTACACAATAACATTCAGGACTAAAAAAATAAACCTAAATGTGGAATTTATTCTTTACCAGTACCACCTGACATCGTGGACTCAAGCAGCAGCAGTGAAGTGATGATACGAGAAGGTGACAATGTAACTTTGCACTGTGCTGCTTCTGGCACCCCACAACCTACTATTCTATGGAGAAGAGAGGACTCAGCATTACTGACTGTTAATGGAAAATCGGGTAAGATTGTAATTTTAACAGTTGAAACCACTTACTTTCCTACTTTACCCATCACCGTACCTTTTATTACCTTTCCAGTTCCGGTGCGTGACTGGAAAGGGTCTATGAATTTAAAAAAATACCTGCCTACTCGTATGTACTTGATGTCTACCCGATCTGCCGAAACTAGTATTTGCTACCATGGTAGCCGAATTTTAAGAATCAATAGGCCTAAATATTTTGTTAATTTTCGGGAGAAATAATAAAAAAAATTGTTGTACATTCACCAGCATATTTAGCGGAACAGTAATAAAATAAAAAAATGCAATGGTTTTTCAAAAAATTTGGACGGTTATTCTATTTTATTATTTAAGTCTAATTTGAAAATAAATATATATGTATTTTATGATACCATGCAACGAACAGGTCGTGCACTTAGTGGTAAGCGAGACGCCTGTCCACAGCAATTGCAGTGGAACTCACAACTTTAAATCGCAAATATCCATATAGCGGAACTACCAGTACCTTTACCCTTCAAAAACAGAAGGTGTGAGCATAACTGCTTGACAGCAGAAATTGGTAATATTAGTCGACTGTATTTTTTCATTCTTTTTCAATTGTTATAATTTTTTACATTCGACCAACTTCTGCTATCCCGATTTTTTCTTCCCATACAATGAAATCATACTTATAGAAACAGAGTCTATTAGCATTAAAAAAAATTAGTCAATTTTATCAATTTTGTATGAAAAATATTTTATGAAATTTAACCAACTTTGGCTGTCCTCATTTTTTCGTCTCATACAATGAAATGATGAAACTGAGTCGATTATCGTTAAAAATAATTTGATCAATTTTATTAATTTTCATGAACAACTCACGCTTGACCAAAAAATTTACTACACTAAAATTGTTTTCACAAAAAAAAAGAGTTAATGGTTCCTAATATAGTTTCCTTGTATTTTCTATAGTTTCGAATTCCCCCTTACTGCCCCGTTTAAAAAAAAACATTGTATACTAAGTCGATGTTAATTTAATTGCTACTTTACATCAAATTATTATTATTTAAATTTAAACGTTACTGAAAATAGAAATGTTCTCATTCGTAGTAACGTTCGTATTATCAGTATTTTGGTCCGCTAAAGGTACTGGTATGAACCTATAGGCACGTTAAGCCATGATTTCCATAATTGGTGTGAATAGTTTATATGAAATAGCTAATATTTTTTGCATTTTAAGACACCGTAAAACTTCGTTTTACCACTTTCCCTCAAAATACAATGCCATTTCACTTCGTCGGAACGAGTGTGTAAGAAAATTCTCAGTAGCTCTGTGAAGAAAACTGTCTATTTATCAACAGAACAAATGGGAAGAAAAGTACCAGTAGTTCTGTACAGAACTGTACAACAAAACTAATGGGAATAAAACGGGCCGATCCACACACATTACGTTTGTACTTATAACCAGACGTGTGTTATTTACGTGGTGATTTAACGGGCGTATAATCGCATTTCCTACATGAAGATATTATAATACTGTGAACCTTGAATTAATATGTTGTAGAGTCCTATTTAAGCCCCTCAACTATATAGTAAATAAAACATTATATTTAACTGTATATAACATTTTCCTTGAGAAGTGTAATTAGTAACCTGAGTACTGTACTGTATCAACTTATATATATATATATATAATATATATATATATATATATATATAACGCACACGCTCATAACCCCACACTAGAGAAACCCTGTATCGCGGGTGCCATGGACACATATAAGACAACCACAAATGCATCCAAAGTCACAAGATAAATAAAAGTAGGCCATACAAAAATCTCGAACCGAACCCAGGACCTCTGCGTGGTAGACCAGTATGATAACCATTCGGCCACGGAGACAGTTAAACATAGGAAGAAGTGGATAAAATTATAATATGAAAATTCACAACTTTAAACCAACTTTGTATATAATTTTTTACAGAGAGATGAAAGACATGTGGGAATATTCTAAAATTTTACACTGAAAATTAGGTAAAACAATATCTGAATTGTGTCGTGACCTAAATTGCTACTCCCTGAAATAATAAGAAACATTATTTATTAGAGCATACGGATCAGTTTTCAAAATTTGCTTGTCGTGAACATAAAATATGGATTGGAAATAAAACTATTTTTTCATGTCTAAATCGCGTACCTATATATGTTTTTTTAAAACAAACCAACGTTTTAGACCCGAAAAAAATTGTTTCATTTCTGATGTGTAACAATCGCGAAAACCCAAAAACAGACTCAAAAATAGACTAAATTGATGATCAAATACAAAAATATAATCGAAAAATACTTACTTGTGACGTCACACATTACAGGTGTTATACAAGCAATATACTAAAAATCGTTTAGCCGAAAAGAGACGGAGCATATCTCTAGTATTATGATATCGCAAAACGAACTTCAGATCCATTTTCAGCATATTCATAAGTTTATTGACACACTAAAAATATTGTGTTATAAACTTTGGAAATCGAGGCTATTCACTGAATAACCATGAATGAAATTATTACTAGATACAGATTTCTTACCGCGAAATGATTTTTTATCCTTCTGCCATTTTCTTTACTCTCGCAGTCGATCAAGCTGCTAACTACTATTGTGAGTGGCTGTTTCAATCTGCCATGAAGCTCTAAACCGTTATGAGAGAATAATAAAGCGTTACACAGTGATAAGAATATCAGAGGTAGTAAGTACAGTATCAAGTACATATTACCAACAAAACAAATGAAGACGAAAACGCAGCCAGTCGATTCGCGTCCATCAGACCGCCAACTGACCAACCGAGGATGGCAGTCATAAAAAGCTGCATACGTGGTAAGAAATTTGCAACGTGCGCATTTGGCCTCCATCACACCTGATGGAAAGTGATGATGAGGTCGACGACCTAGAATGCACACATAAATAATACCTATTTACTCTCGCCTTGAAAAAGTCCATCGTTCGGGGAACAAGTCCGCAGGGAGGGAACTCCACTTCCTAACCGCTGACTATATAAATGTAGAAGCGAAATACTACGTGCGAATCCTAGGAGTATCCACAACATAGCGGTGGAACCCTAGTCCACTTCTAGTCCCACTATGATGGAAAATGGAAGGCGGAATCAAATCATGCTATTCCATCGCACCACTCCAAGATATATCATGTAGACTACCGATAATCAGGCAACTTTACTCTCGAACTCTTCCACGTGGAAGTCGAGATTTCTCCAACAACTAGGCTTAGAACAAGTGTCAATTGCAGTGTTAAAATGGAAAGGCGAGTGGCTGAACATGACGTCTGTGGAGCGGCAGATGAATGGCGCGTTCCTCTGCATCGCCACCAACGGTGTACCTCCAACAGTCAGTAAGAGGATCGTGCTACATGTTTTATGTAAGTTCATAGAGACTACCATTGAACAGTACGTGTGATGTAAGTTTTAGAGAAGTAAAAACAATGTATTAAGCAAGTGTTGCGGTGTTAAAGATAAAGACGATGTAGTGACTATGACAAAAAGGGAATAGTTTGATGGTTTGGTGACATGTAAACTCGGATATTAGTAATACAAATTCATAGAGCCGGGGTAGAGGACCAAGTCACCCTCGAGAGAAAGGTTGATATTAGCGTATATACTCGTATGTACCTCAACCACATTAAGGATATGCTTAAAACAAGCGCCAGACCTTCTGGTCTATTGTGGTTGAGGTTACCAAGAATAACCGAACTTATATATATAATATATATATATATATATATATATATATGTACATACACACACAAACACACCTATATACGTATGTAGAGATGATTAAAATAAAAGTATACCCACGGAGTTATTTGTAAAATGTTAACAACCTCACAGAACTGTATATAGTAACATCCATAATTAACAACTTTTATTCCATGACTTTACACTATAAATTTACCAACAATGAACTTTCAGATATTTACGCTAGCTCTTTCTTTTGTCACAGAGTTATCACCGTTTAGACCATAATTTCCCAAAGTACCTCTTTCGGAAACTATGGTCTTCGGTCTTCACCCACGGCACGGAATCAATTGGGGGGCGTTGAAGCTGTCCAGTGCTACCGCATTTGAAATAAAAAAAACCTACACTATCTATATAAACTACACTACAATATAAAAAAAAAATTCTTTGTCATTTTTTGTGTTAAGTTAATATAAAAAATACGTGTTTTCCATTATTTTTTGCGGTAGTGAGCGTTGAAATTTTGTTGTCTTGCCTAAGTGAGCCATAAGCCAAATAGTTTGGGAACCTATGGTTTAAAGCAGTCTCTTTAAATTTTTCTATTTTGGTATGATAGTAATATGTGATGTATTATTAAAAGTTATGGAACAAAAGTTGCTGTTTATGGTGTTAATACGTAATACAATCATGCGAGATAATTAGGATTTTACAGACAACGCTGCATATATTTAACTTTTTCTTTTTTTCACTGCATTGTCCTGTATATTAATTACATAATTACATGGAATAATTGATTGTACATACAATTAATTGTTGATCTTACTGATGGCACATGGCCTTACTGATTGTGTCATAAAACTATATGTAGGTCATCCAACCGTATAGTTACTGTCGTGGCCAGCTGCCATGAGCGCAATATATATATATAAAAACTTATATGTGATCGAGCTGTTGCCTGCCTTAGGACTTAATAGAAACTTATACGTTGCTAAGTCCTGGAATTATAATGCTAGTATTGACGTTTGACATCAATGTATAAACAAGTTACTAGAAAATCGTCCTTAATAAAAATTCGCATATTGCAACATAGTACAGGAAAATATTTTATACTGTAGGTACAATGTTAGACAGACGGTCATAAACATTATAGTTAGAAACGAAAAATTGAATTGTAGATGCAGTTGTATTTCTAGATATAACTTTAGATGTTAAATTGCGATGGGGTCTACATATAACTAGTTTCTCAAAACGTCGCAGCTCTGCAGTGTACGCGATTAAAAGAATACGAAAACTTTCACACGCCGAAACCGCTACATTAGTTTACACTTTGCTTAAGGGTAATGCCGCCGATATTAATAGAATCTTTGTCCTGCAGAAACGTGCGGTTTGGGCAATTTATATCTGGCCCCTAGAGTGGAGATAAGTTTAAAGAAATTAAATTTTTTTCACTAGCGTCACAGTATATTTATGAAAATGTAGTTTATGATAACTTGTTTTTATGAAAAATAGTCACAGACATAACGTTAATACGAGGAATAAAAATAAACTAGCTGTTCCTGACAGTCGTCATCACAAAGTCACAAATTCATTTAAGGGGCGTGTACACCTATATTATAATAAGATTTCGGTGTTATTCAAAATTTGGTGAGGTTTAAAACTACAGTGAAACAAAACCTTTATTCTAAAAGTTCTGCGTAATTGGATGACAAAAATACGTGCTAGTGACCCGCTTAGCTCTTGCAGGTATTCTCGGTCTTAGATATTTGAAATAAATATTGTAAATGATAAATGTATTCAAATATATATTTACAAAGAGCAACCCCTAGAGTTTCTTGCTCTTGCTTCTCAGGGGAATCTGCCTTACGAATGAGCAGTAGAGTTTAACCAATATAACGATTTCAAGTGTAATTTTCTTACCTAAGAAATAAATATGATTTGATTTACCACTTTGACACTTTTAATACGTATGTTCCATGGATATCGTATTATAATTTCGACAAGTTGGCTCCTAGTAAAGAAGGATAGAAACTGGTTAAACGTGATAACGATTCCTACCGAAAAGTTTTTACCTTTTTGTTACGTGTAACTATACCTCACTATCGTTTTTCCAATAAAGTATGATAACCATGAAATATTTTATAAAGTTTCAGGTCGACCTATTTTTGCATTAGTAAAAGTCACCTTTATCAAAATTATCATTCCTTTGTGCCCAAAGGTGTCTACCGTTACAATTGATAGCCCACCCTTACATCTTGTAGACACGTCTTCACCTTTACTTCTTAAAATGTTAACGATATTTTACTACCATGATGTTCAATTATTGTTTTGTGAAATGACTCCATTAGTTAGTTAAACTGTTAATACAAAAATCGAACACAGAAAAAATCCGTTTGTATATGCTACAATAAACGATACGTGATACTTTGTCGTGGTTGTTCATTGTTCCGTGGTCGTTACACGGGGATAGTCTTCGTCTGATGTCTAATACTTTCGAGCCCTAAAATGTTACCCTAATTAAGACTTTCGTATGCAAGGTCGCTATATGTAATGAGCGTACGGTAGGTAGTATAGGTGTACTAAAATCTCATGGCACTAATTTAAAGAAAAATCGAATGATTTTCTTCTGCCAATGTTAACTTTTCACATGTAATTTCAAAATATAAATTATGTCTATAGTAACCTTTATTTTGCAATAATGACGAAGAATCAGCTTCGATCTCAAACATGAAACATTGTTTATAATATTTATCGCAACATGAGAGACTAATTAGATGAACCCAAGTCACAATCTACGATTTGGAAGCGGGTCTCAATATTTATGGAGGTTAGTAAGAGTAAATAGACTTGATTAACTTCGACAACTTAACTTGAAGATTAGAGTAAAAGCTGCCACCGTGTATTAAAAATAGAAAACAATACATTGAGCAATAAAAGGTAATAGAAGCACTAGAAGAGGGATCGCTTATTGGCTGATTATTATATTATTATCATCAATGGACTCATTGCTTTGTTTCATTATTATTATTAAACGAAATTCATTATCTCTCTCGTACAAAAATGTTCATAAAGGTCTTGAAATATACAAGGACTCTTAAATGCTGTTCAATGAAATATATACATTATGGAGTATTTCTTGTTCTTCTTTACTAATTTGTCAATTTGAACCTCTTTCTTTCCGGCAAAGGTAAACCAACAGCGAATATGACCCAAAAGATGATCGGAGGCTATCTGGGAGAATCCGTCCAACTGCAGTGCATGATAGAAGCCAATCCACCTCCAGTGGTTCATTGGACTCATATTAACGCGAACAGACTGCCTAATGGTAAGTATGACGCTTTTTAACTGTTAAAAATTTTCTTTACATACCAATAAATGACGAAGAGCAAGACCGAGACAAAGTTATTTACAAATTATTGAACAAATAAACACGGACAGGCTGTCAAGCTTGACACTTGAGATTTAAATTCAACTCTATTCCTTACTATACTGTAAAAACAGGACAGAATGACGTTTACTATACAAACAAAAGCGTAGCTGTTACAGTGGTTACACATTGCGACTTTCAGCAGCGATGCAAACGCGCGTTCATGAAATGCACCAACCAATCGCTACACTTGCGATTTACAGGCGATTGCATCGATGCAAGCACGCGACGGCATCAATACAAATGCGTGATTGCATCGATGCAATCGCCTTTATATTCCAAGTATAGCGATATAATCGCGCGCTTGCATCGCTATTTAAAATCTCGCGCGTATGTAAAGGTAGACGATTAGCGAGAACATCGAGCAAAAGTCGTCGTGTGTAACCGCTTTTAAATAGAAGGAAAATCACACAATTTATTATATACATATTTACAATTTATTATATACATATATAATAACACAAACAGTTAAACATTCTTCTACTTTCATTTCTATTGTCAGTACCTTACGCCGATTGGCAAATCCTTTCAGCACGAAGGCAAGCACTGCAGTGTATGCCATCGATACGATAAGAAGTGCGTTGCTCGTTAACGTAACGCCGTTGATGTTTTCCCATTCTACGCTCTATCCTGGACCGCCTAGTAGGACACCTTATGCGCCTTCGATTCCATCATTTGCGCTCGGTCTTGCTCTACCTCATCTCCCCTCCATAATAGATACCTATAAAAACTTTACTTATATTTTCTACTATTTCAACGTACCTACGCAAAGTGTCAAAGAGCAATGTAAAAAAGATATTTATTTCAACAGGATCAAAGTACCAGGCGAGCATGACATCACAAGGATACAAGCACACAGCTGTCCTAAAAGTAAACAATGTATCGAGAGACGATATAGGATCGTATCACTGTTATGCAGAAAATTCGCTTGGCGTTGAAAGTGACGACATTACACTGTACAGTAAGTGATATAAAGAACTAATAACACAATTGAAATTAAGTACAGGCAGAGCCTAAACATGTTACTCCTCCGCTACGGCTCACCTACTTTATGTAGGAAGTTACATTTCTGTGCTATTGACTGTGAAGTTAATTTAAATAGCTGCTGATAAAAATTTGCATGATAACTTTACAATTAATTGAAATTTTTATCATAGGAATAGTTGTTTTATTTTCTCCATTTAATTTTTTTATACGAGTAATAAACATAAGAAAAACGGCTAGATCATTGCCTTAATCAGCAGCATCATGACGATCACGGTGGCTCAACGGTTTGCATTGTGGACGCTAGATGAGGAGGTCCCGGGTTCTATTTCCGGTAGGTCCAATTTAAGAAATGAACTTTTCTTAATTGGTTCTGGTCTGTATGTTCTGGGTAGTGCCCCGGATTGAATTCTGTTACTATGGTACACATAGTACAGTGAGTTCCCTAGTTTGATACCAGGTACTTGGAGTGGGTGTGTTGCATATTGAATTTAAAATATAAACCACTATTTCGCCTCTATCAGTAAATTTGAACTTTGTTCATGGTTCAAACATTTTGTAAAATGGAATGTTATTGATACATAGAAAGTGATAGATGCCAAATTAGAATTTTTTATTTTATTGATTTTTTTTTACCATTTAAACCATTTATATCCACACACATAAAATACAGAATAAGAGGAAACAAAATGATCTATGGAATATTATAAAAAAAACTAAATGACTTATATGTGGGGGTCAGTCTCAGCATTGACTGAGCGTTAGCAGTCACTCAGCACTAGTTTCCAGCCAGCCCCCGACTTTAGCAAACACATTTCAAGCGGCCTTACCATGAACTCTTATTACAGTTCAGTATATGTTCGTAACGACAAAAAAGCGGGATGTTGATATGCACTTCACGTAGCGCTGTGTGACAACGATTCATTTTAGGTCCTGTAGGTAATGAATCGTAATAAGAGTTCATGGTAAGGCCCCTGTTCCGCAAACTTAGAGGACTAATCAATTACAAATTTATACTACTAAAAAATATATTTTTTGCCATTATATAATAATAAAATCTTAGTCGTCCCAAAACAAAACCAATAATTTTCCATGTCATTGAAAATCTGAATAACTGATGTAACACAATAAATGCTTTTGCATTTGAAATTACTGAATATGTCTATTGACACAAAAAACAAGTCTGGTCTAAGGGTGTCTCTTTCTGTTTGGCCAGCAGTACCTTTTACAGTCGAAGTTTAGCTGTATATGGACTACAAAATAATTTCCATTGTTTAGTTGTAAATGTATATGGCATCGATTGATAGGTTTTCGCGATTTCTACACATAGGAAATGAAACCATTTTTTTTTAATCTCAATCGCGTATTTATTTATTTTTCAAACAAACCGACATTTTTGGCTCGTTTTAGGCCCATGGTCGCGTAATCAGCCGTGACAAAAATAGCTTCAGTTAAAATATTATTATACTGTAATTAAAAAGTGTATAGTAAGACAATATACTTATTACATGAAGTTTCTATATATTCATGTGAATTACATATTTATTACGAATATTATATAGTACGTTTGCGACATAATTTCCAATTAGTTAGATACTTCAAAAAATAGAATTTATTTTTCCTCTTACGGGGGCTTCACTGGAAATATTTTAATGATATTATAATGGGTCTTGGCCGGACGCCTCATTAATTAAGCTTCAATTAAAGGCATATATTTTGGCTAGAAAGCTGCTCGTCTCTTCAATGGAATTAATTTTTGTTTCACGACGCGAGAATGAATTATGAATAATGGTCCTTAATTTGCTATGAAAATGTTAAAGGTTTTTTGTAAGGAAAACTGTTTTCTTTGACTTCTAGAACTTAGACAATCCCTCCATCTTCCCATGCCCATATAACCAACCAAAAGGTTATACTAACGGATCTTAAAACTACAAAGTTAAAATACTGAAAACATTACATCAACAACATCTTTTACAAAATATCTTTGTTCATATACCTTTTTTATTCTTGTAACTGCATGCATATATGAAATGAAACTATTATTTCTGATCTAAATTGCATATATTTGTTTTTTCAAACAAACCAATGTTTCAGGCCCTTTACATATCCCATGATCACGGCTGACTCAGTCCATTTGCAATGTGATTTGATAATAATAGCGAAAACCTAAGAATTCCAATTTAAATGCATTTTTTTCTATAGCACTGGCAACTACCACCGTAACCACCACTTCCACAACTTACGAGACTACAAAGATGGACACCACGTCCTCTCAGCCATGTGAGTTATTATTAAACAGTAACAAGATATTTGTTTATTGAATATCATGATATTTTACTACCATAATTTTCATATGTCGGAGTTAACGTCGGAAAGGGGTCACCCTTGTGAGGTGTTGAGGGAAACACCCTCTTCGCTGATTTAGTCAGGTATTACTTGATAATTGGCTTATTCACTCTTCGTTATCAATTCGTTCAGCCGGCGCGCGGCGGTGAAATAATACTTTAAATTGAATTAGTTGTTTTATCCACTTTTCACAGTAATTAGTTCGAAAGTGCAAATAAGATACAGTAAGAAAGTAATTTCTAACTGTATCTTATAGGTAAGATGAAATGTGTAAATATCACGCGGCAAGTTCACAAAGAGCGAGGCTGCGCCTGTTTTCACTTTCCAAGCAACTTGTGTGAGCGTGCTGGCACTGGTGGAGTTCTGTTGGTAGTTCAGTAGGATTGTAATGTCGTCGGGAGAGTAGTATAGTAGCCTCCGCAGCCAGCGCGCCTCCGTACATCTTGCTTAGTACGTTTAAAGTTCAAAATTCAAAATGGTAAAGAACTAGTGGTAATAAATCCAGTTTTATAAATATTTATTCCAGTTTTAACAATATATATGATGTTTAAAATTTTTATCGCACTAGAGATTTTTAGTCACTGGTAAACGACTCAAAAAAATAAGGAGAGAAGACGTGTTCGCTACCGCGACCGAGTAGGGAGTGACGACGGAACGAAACAAAATCAGAATGCGAGGCAAAAGAACTACGGAAATTCAAAATTTAAATTTAAATACGAGTGGCCGGGAACCGGAGAAAGGCGATAAAAAGATGGGATGACGATGTAAGGAGGTCACACCGCCACAAACTTATACAAAAACCCCTCTTGTCAATGCGCGCTCGTTTATAAGCCTTGACCGTCAACTTCGTCATATGGCAACCCTGCCAGCGACCATCATGTTATGGGATCACGTCAAATGACTGATTTACCTCAACCGATCCAACTACACCAGCGCCCCTTCTCTGTGACCATACCCAGCGTTTGTAGACAAAGAAACCATGATCTGGACTAGTTAATATAATTCTTATAATTCTTAAGATCTGCTGACTCGGTCTGCAGCTCAGTTGCCTAAGACCAGTCCCCGGTATGGCAACAGAAGCTGGTTCAAGTCCAGCTGGATTGAAATAATTTTTGTTTGTGTGCAATCTTTGTAAAATTAGTGGAGCAACTCCACAAAAAAAAATGCATATCATGATAATAAAACATCGTGATATTCAGTAAAATCTTTATTGTATCTTTTTATGTTATTAACTTCAAAAATGATTAAATAATGCATCGCGAAATTATGCAAATGTATGCGTCTGTACACGGCATGCAGCGTGCGCGCACACATACAAACTGCACTGCTACGTTTGTATGGAGTTACCACACTTGTATGGTACTGCAGTACATTGCCGTCGTAAATGCAACGAGGTGCATTGCTTTGCGTGCTTACTGTTTGGAAATATTATCTGTATACGTCTTCGCCGAAGGAAACCTATTGAAGTAGCTTCTCTGTACATAAATGCTTTGCCGATCTCACGATTGACTTGTGTTCTATGTCAGTACCTGTTCAAATTTGCTTTTCGACACCTCATTTAACAACAAAGATATAGTCATGGATATTTTTATCTGAGCGAATTGCGTCGATACAAACGCGCGGCTGAATCGATACAAACGTGCGATTGCATCGATGCATGCAGTCGTCTTTGAATTCCAAGTGTAGTGATGCAATGCAAAAGAAAAAAAAAAGATCAAATTTGTGCCTGTAGCATGCCTGTGGCTATCGTATGGCATGTAAGGTAGTTAACATTGTATATACGCGTAAAAAGTATGCCACGGACAGGTGTTGGTCTTTGTGATTAGGTTAACTGATTTATTCATTTGACTGATTTTTAATTGTTTATTCACAGATGCAGAATTGAATCCGAATGATGAAATGTATGAAAAAGACTCATTTGAAGAAGATAACTATGTCGTTGTATTAAGCCAACATCAAATGCAGAGCTTAGGTAAGTCATTACAATAAAATGTCTTTGAAAGAAAATACGTGACACATCTATACCGTATAATAAATGTTGTAACCATTTTTAAGGCCGGTTTTTTATGTATAGCTGGCCTAGCTGACGGAGGGTCTGTGTACTTTAGGTTTGTGTAGCTGATTATATCACTTGTTGTGAACGACTTAGCCAGACTGGTCTAATAAAGAAAACCTCATCCCTCGTCTTTCGCCCTCTGTCAGACCCTCTGCTTTATGTTTTCCGTACCTATACTTCTTACTTATAGGTACGCCCATAGGTCCAAACACAAACATTCGGTAATGTTAGTGTAGCATTATCAGTTTTTTTAAATGTGATCTGTCTTACATTAGAGATTTTTAACGAAAACATGGTCTTGGTCTATATTTGTTGGAGCAGTGATATTAACGAGTGCTCGGAATTGCATACGTAGTGTGCCGTTCACATAAAAACCACAGATACAACAACATATATTTCAGTAAACACAAATATCACTACATGTACAATTTCGAGCTTTCGTTAATATACCGTAGGGCCGTGGTTTAATTTTAATTGTAATGGTAAAATCTTAATTTGTCATGTCTGTCTGACCGATTGCGTTACACGTTACAGCCTTTTTTCAGCCATTGTTTTAATAGAGCGATTTTGAAAAAAAATTTGCTCCCATTATTTTATAAAATGCAACAAAATATGTTACTGAGTCCATTTATGTTAACTCTCCTGTTTCGAAACTGGTTGTCGAATTTGTCTACAGAACGACGTGAATTTTGGCAATTTTAAAATAGCTTTTTTGCATAGATAGTAAGTAAAGTTGAAACAGAATGTGGTTCAACGTATGTACGTAACAGCCAAGGAGTGCTCCCCTGGCCTTGTCTGACTTGCAATTGGTAATTCTTTTAAATTATATTTCAATAAACTGCGATTGCCAGAACATATTATCTTATCGCACACCTTTGGTGTAATAATGCCACATCTCCAAAATGTCAGGCGAGTTATGAAGATTTTTAAATAAGAAAGATAAAATGTCACATATTCAAAATGTGTTTCATGTGGTTATATGACATTATTATTTATATGACTTTCTTGTTTTATAAGCACTTTTGACGTATTGTTAGCGAATCATGACATTAATTTGTTTTATTTTGTTAGAAACTTACTTTGCTTCATTAAAAATTTATTTCTTATTTCGATAAAACTAATTTTATCGAAATAAGAAATAAATCGATATCATCATCAAGGATCAACGGAGCGCTGACGGGCGCCCGACATTGCGAAAAACATTTTTGACAAGAAAGAACATGGGTTTGTTTGGATTTATAATGAAAAGATCTTATAATTTAATTTATAACAGTCACTGGAGTCTCATTTCTATTTTTATAATACCAAGTGACTGGACGAACAAGTCGTGCACCTGGAGACAAGCGACACGCCTATCCATGACAGTTGCAGTGCCAATTAGAGCTTTTAATCGCAAAGATCTCATGGGCACTGCCACTGCGCCCGTCATCCTGAGACATAAGTTGACAAGTCCCATGTACCTATAATTTCACCAGCACCCTTACCCTTCAAAACGGTAACTATCACAAACTCGATTTTTTTCCGAAATAACCTTTGTTCGAATATTTAATTTTTTTCATTACACCGAAAACCGAATTATAACGAAACCGTTGTTCTTTGAGGATATGTTGGATATTTATCGCAAAGACACGATTAGGCTCGGTTAGGTTTGGTTAAGTTAGTTTTAAAAAAAAACATTTTCCTCTCAAAATTACTTTCGAGGTTATGAAAATTCGAGTAAACGTTATTTCTGGAAAATATCATTTCGGACTATTGATAGGTAACCTTACGAAAAAGGAACTCAGTAATGCTGACATGACTACTTGGCTGACATTTATACTTGAATGATTACATGTGGCTCTACTGTACCAAGGGTACGTTATATTGTTTTGCATTATATGTAAACCACCATATATTCTAAAATCCCAGCAAAAGAATAAGCACAATAGATAAAGAAGTAAAGTACCATTTAAACGAAATCTCGCTACCCCATCCTGAGCACACGTAAATTGCAGCTGCATTGCATCGCGTAAATAGTAGTCTCAGCGTGTAATATTTATCTGAAACAGTGGCTGTAACATGGTAGATAGAGTCATATTTACTTCTTTATGTTTTCGGTTAGAGTTCATCGGAGTACGGTAGCATTTAATGTCGAAATAACTAAAAATATGTACACCGTTCGCTATTTTTTAAGGTATCATGTTTTATGGTGTAACGGGACGAATAAGTCGTGCGCCTGGTGGTAAGCGACACGGTTACTCATTACGGTTGCAGTTCCACTGGGAGCTTTAAATTGCAAAGATCTAAGAGGCACTGCCACTGCACCCATCATTTGACACATAAAGTTGATAAGTCCCATGTACCTGTAATTTCTCCAGCACCACAACCCTTCAGATAAATAAGCAGAAATAGATAAGGTGGCAGTAGTTCCCTCGACGAACTTATACTGTCCTTGTGCAAGAGGTCCTGCTAATCTACCGTTTGAAAGTACTAAAAAATATCATCTCATTTAATAAATATCAACCATCTCACAATTTTCATAAGGTTCTGTTTTACCATTTAAATCTCCGCATTTAAAGTGACACACACACTTGATAACTTGAATTTGTGCGGGTGGGTTTATATTCACATTAATTAAGGTGACATTTCTGTTTTTATTTGCAGACCACCCTCCAAGCTCGTGACCAGCGGAAAGCTCAGGCCACTGGCCCATGTGGTCTGAAGCATCGAGATCCACTTTCGCAGTGTATGTGTTTATAGTTTGCACGATTGTTATCCCGATTGCGTATTAAATACGTACAATAGAACTGCACTATTAGTATAAGAAGTTATTGTGTCATTCTTAAGATTACTTATTACAAATGTTTCGAATTAAAGAGCTTTACAGATCATGTGTATTTGATTTATTACTAACTGTCTTAATGTTATATCTCGTATTATTAACTCATCGAGTACTATTCGATGTATTAAGTTAAATTATTCTATTCCTATAAACGTAGCGGCAGCATGGGCGTAATGAGCATGATGGGCAAAAAGGGTTTTTCAATATACCCTGAATTAAGGGCATAAGTAAGACACCATGATTACGAGCAACTCTAGCGCACTCCCCTCGCAAGCAAATAAGGACGCCATGAGGAGCGGTAGGAGTTAACCGAGTAAACAGGAGCCTCTATAAATTTCACCGCTAAAAACTTAAAATAAATTAAAGGTGAGTGCGCAGTGTTTTTATGATTTATGTAAAGTTTATTGTACATGAATGCATACCATGACAACGTTTGGTCTGTATGCTGTCTGATAAAAGTGCATTAATTAACAAAACATTGCATTTTGTTAATAATTCTCGGCGTGGCACATAGGAGTATTAGACTCTAAAATCCGGTCATAATTCAAAATCACAATTTTAATATAATGACACATATAATGCTCGTTTCATGTAGCCCAGTAAGCCGTTTATCGAAGGGGAAACTCCCCACCAGCGCCCGCGCCGGCCCTCTGACTACCTGGTCAGTCGAAACTCAGTCGTTGTCGGAATCGCACATCTTTGTTCTCGACGCTCTCTTTTGTGACACTAAATTCTAAGTGAAATATGGCTTCGTGTAGTGGACTACAACAAAAACAACAATTAGACATGGAAGTTGGAGGTATGTACTATATTATTACACACATTATTATAGTTCTTTACTCGAATTTCCTATTTACTGAGTCAATATTGGAAACATCTTTTTACTACCTGATTTTTTTCACTAAATTTGAGATATCATAGTAGATTTGACCACGTGTCGCGTCTTGTCGCCCTTAACTTTTCATGTTAGCATATATTTCAGACTTTTGTCTACATAAATAAGCAATAAAAGCATTCAACAACTTTCAACTTTATTTTGTACACGTGTTTTAAATTTTAGGTATACAATATTCAAAATATAAAAATTCACTAATTTTGCTTTCTCTTGTCTCAGATTCTCCGGAGAAAGTAAAAAAACTTACTAGATTGGAACTGTATGACATATTGAAGGAGTTTAAAGGAAAAAAAATTGAAGAAAAATTTATTTTATTAGAAAAAAAGCTCGTAGGGCTCACATGTTGCCCAGTCGAGGAAAAGAGCGTTTTAAGTCGTTCGTTGAGGTTTTTCAAAACCAGCTTCAAGAAAAAATGGACAGAATCTCACAGCATAGAACATATATTCTTAAATAAGAACGCAGATTGGCTCAAAACAACAATTGAGCTGCCCACGTGGTGTTATAAACCGGGAAGGCCGCAAAAACAATTCCAAGAATTAAGTGAAAGGAGCAAGCGACGGAGAACAAAGGATTTACGGGACCAGGTACCCGTTGATGAGTTGACCTTCGCTGCTCGTGTTAGTCACGGCACTTCCGGGAATACCGATACTTCCAAAGTTTTGAAAGAAATCACGGCTTCTCCGAATAGAGCTACAAAAGTTCGAAGTATCATATCATCAGCCAAGAAAGATAAGGCAACAATGAAATACACACCACAAGAAGCGTTGGCGTTGTTCGTGGAAGGTGACTTCACACGAAGACAATGGGAACTAATCCAAGGCGAAAGGAAAGATGTGTACCCTTGTTACACAATTATCCAAAAAGCGAAAAAGGAATGTTACCCGGATGAAAAATACATCAAAGTTACTGAGACCAGTTTTGAAGTGGATCTTCAAGCACTATTGGACCATACGACTTTGCGTCTGATGGATTATTTAAGTGATGTCGTAGACTCTTTGGCTGAAAATGAAAGAGATAATTTAATTTTGGTGTCAAAATGGGGTTGTGACGGATCTCATCAGACACAATTCAAACAAAGATTTATCGAAACAATCAATGATGATTCAAATATATTCCTTAGTTCATTAGTTCCAGTGAGGTTGATTGTCTCTATTAACGGTGAAACAAAGAAGACAGTGTGGCAAAATCCAGTACCCTCATCAGTGAGGTTTTGTCGACCTATCCGAGCCCGTTTTGTTCATGAGACGAAAGATATAACCAAAGAAGAGATATCATTCATTGAAACTCAAAAAACACGTTTAAAAAGTACAGAACTAAACAAACAAGGTACCAAAATAAAACACACCCTGCTCTTGACAATGGTAGATGGTAAGGTCTGCAATGCTGCGACTGATACGGCTTCGACAATGCGTTGTTATATATGTGGCCAAACGTCAAAAGATTTTAATAATCTTAAAAGGGTTGAAGCAAATAAAGAATCTTTAAAGTTTGGGCTTTCGATTCTCCATGCCCGAATCCGTTTTTTCGAGCAATTGTTGCATTTGGCATATAAAGCTCGTATCAAAAAGTGGCAAGCCCGATCTGAAGAAGAAAAGAAAGTTGTTAAAGAAACAAAAGAGCGGATACAAAAAAGTTTCAGGGAAGAAATGGGGCTACTTGTTGACATCCCAAAAGTAGGTTACGGCAACAGTAATGATGGCAATACATCCAGAAGATTTTTTAATGACCCAGAAACTTCGTCTCGGATCACTGGAATCGATATATCCCTAATAAAAAGGTTTCATACTATATTAGAAATTTTATCGAGTGGATTCAACATTAACCACGAAAAATTTTATGTATTTGCCCAAACTACAGCAAAAATGTATGTAGAATTGTATGGATGGTACCCCATGTCACCTACAGTTCACAAAATCTTAATGCATGGGGCTGAAGTCATTGAACAGGCCATTTTGCCAATAGGACAGTTGTCAGAGGAGGCCTCAGAGGCTAGAAATAAACATCTGCGAAAGTATCGCATAGATTTTGCTCGTAAATTTAGTAGGGTGGAATGCAATAGAGATGTGTTGAATAGACTTTTATTAACATCTGATCCCCTAATAAGCTGTACCAGGAAAAAACGAGCAAATAAGTCGAAGTCCTTCTCAAAGGAGGCAAGGGAAATGTTTATTTTAAACGAAGAATACGAGAGCTCCGAAGAATAAAATAGAGATTTTTTTATTGTTTATTTCTAAGTATCTTAGATTTAAGCCGTTTTTCTTTGTTAATTTTTATTTGTAATTGTTTTTTTTTGTATTATCATGTACTTATAGCTCTAAAACATTTTTTCTGTATAATTTATATTGTATTGATATTTTTTTAATGTATTTAATATAAAATATGTACCTAGAAACTATTTTTATTGTGTTTTATTTCATCACAATGAAGAAAAAACCAATAAATCATTTTGACCGGATTTTTGAGTCAAATACTCCTATGTGCGTGGATTGAGATTGGGAGGTTCAGGGCAAAACGGGTACGGGCAAAACGGGTAGGTACACTTTTTACCCTCTTGTTATTTTGTTTGAACTTATGGCTTTAATTTAATATGTTTATTACAGATGGTGTTTAGTTCCAAAAGAAAAAGATTGAGAGCTTCTTGGTATACATATTATCTACTAAACAAAGCAGATATTTCTTCTACCAAGACAATAAAGCCGCCCTGCGCAGCGCGGATGTGCTCAACGTGTCCTTTATCCATCCGTCGTCGGCCATTTGTGTTGCCACGGGCAATATAAAGTGTTATTGATTATTGGGTTTGTTTTTATAATAATTATAATAGCCAAAGAGGCTGTGCTCGGTTATGTTTAATTTGTTCATTAAATTTCTTTTCAGTTTCGTGTATATTAATTGATAAACCTTAACAGGTCCTTCTTGCCCTACCTTACCCTATTGTATAACTTAATAGTTCTGTAACTTCCATAGTATAATGCCCTAACGGGACTCTCGTTTGGGGCAAAACCATAGTAAAACGGCAAATATACAAACCATTATTTGTGTTGCAAAAACGAGCGATTCGTTCTTTGTGCCGTTTAGGTTCTTGAGTTCCTCTCAGATAAACAAATTAAGGAGACTGGTATAGTGACTGTCGTATCATAGTATATTTTTTGACTCAAATATTTTGTATGCCCGTAAAAATATTCATAATTTCTTTAAGAAAGAAGATGTCTATAATATTAAAGTTACAACTAAGTCCAAACCCATAAGTAGCACCACGATTTCGTTTACCTAAGGTAAACGATTCTTTTATAGGGAACTGTACGTTGTTACAATAAGATTCCGGAGCATTTATTAAGATAATAATTTCCTAAGGTATACTTACATTAAAACTATTTTAATTGAAAAATTGAGACATTACAAAATTGAGAACTACGTGTTAGATAAAGATGTATGGAAAGACGCATGGTTCTAGATTCCACACAAATTTGTTTGAAACACAATTTATTTGAAAAGGCAACACTTAGAGTTTCATTCTCGTTCTTCTCGGAGAAGTCAGCACAGTGAATGAGCAGTAGCTTAATAAATTGCATTTTCAAGTGTAAATTTATTTTACGTATGGAGTACATTTTTTTTTTTTACTTTTGACATTTGACGGGCTTTCGTTACATCTTATCATGATTATTTTATTAATAAGTACACAGCGTCCAAAACCACAACATTTTTACCTTAACACTGTATTTACACATAAATAAAATACTGCAGAAAAAAACGACCAAGAAAGTATGATAATATTTATTTGATTATCTTAAGACTTTATATTAAAACAAGATACATAATATGTTATCGTAGAAGTGGATGATAGAGTCCACATTCCTTTGAATTACCAAAGATAATCCGAAGAAATATTAACTGAAAATTAAAAGACGGCCCTGAAGAAACCATGTTAGAGTGACTTCTGTTTTTATTATTTTAAGTTGGCGAATAATAAGCAACCAACTTATAAAATATTTATTTCAGTATGTACATCATCGACGAAACGTGCCCCATTTTCTCGAAAAAACACAGGGTACTTTTCCATTCTCACATATTTGTGT